CCAGATATCCTTCTCCTACCACAGACCAGAAGTACCATACCCATTATACCGTCTGCTGGATGTCGGTTTTTGGCAGATCTGGCGTTGGTTTAGCTGGATGCAGCACATGTTTTCCTGCTTGTGTATGGCCAGATATCCTTCTCCTACCACAGACCGGAAGTACCATACCCATTATACCATCTGCTGGATGTCGGTTCTTGGTGAATCTGTTGATTGTGTTGGAAATGCACACAAATGGAAATAGATTTTGGTACAGAAGCTCATCTTCCCTACCAATTCCCATTTCAAGGTGAAGAGGTAGGTGATTTTTCTTCCTATCATGCATCTGATACCATTCCAGATTGTGTCTGGTGTTGGATGAGGTCAAACTACCACTATGGTCTATTGCGCCCTAGCCACTCAACATCCTGGAGTCCCATTCATTGGTATTACATATTCTGGTACTCCTTTGTGTTTTTCTGGTTTTTATGTTTATGAACCAGTCATAAAAGAGTGAAGAGTATACCTGGATCAGATGTGGTGCAGTCTCCTGCTCAGATGTGATGTTTTCTATTTTGGTTCCACACCTTCTGGTCTCTCTTTGGTTGCTTCTTAAAGGTGGATCTTTTTTTTTTTTGTTCAGTCCTCCACCAGTTCAATGAAGAATTTTAGCTATTTTGTGAGAGGAGGTCAGATATTATATTGAAAGTTAGCATTTTTCTACACTGAAAATGTATATTCAACAAATACTTTTCCCACCCACGTTCTCCACTTCCGATGATACATGGTGTAGGTCTTCTGACCAATCTCGAAGTAATTAATGAGTGCAGATGTGAAGAGGGTGCTGGTTATGATAAAGTAGTGTTGCACTCCTATTGGAGGAAAACTTCTGCATGATCATCTGTATACGGATATCCAGAAGTGGGAGATGGAAGGCTAGTGGTTTGCATTTAAAACCTGCACCAATAGAGGGCAGTAGTAGTCAAGGAAAGCTATTTTGTGAAAAGTGGTGAGTATCTATCAGAAATGCATTTTTAGTGTAGGAAAATGATAACATTTGCTCTTTAAATCATTCCTCTTCTCTAGTTTATTTACCATCCCTCCAAATTATATGAATATCACTCAGGTAAAGCATAATATTTGTAGTTTTTAAATTTGACCAATTTCGTGACTAATTTGACCTTCCGAGTTTCTATAACTTTTTACATATTTTATCAGAGTGATGACTGCTCTAAATACAAAGTGATTTTCATGTTAAAGTTAAAAATACTTTCATTTTACCTGTGAATTGTAAAATTTCATTTACATAATTTCTAAATGGTCCTAAATCAATATCAAACTTTTTTCCCAGTAAAACTCAATATTTTATGCTTTACTTTTTTTACAATAACTCTATACCCATTCGTTCAATTTGTCCTACCTCATAACCATCCATAAAAAAATACAAAATTAATCTAAGTGAGCCTTTTTTCTTTCTAGAATGACTGCAAGCTGAAACTAAATAACAGTTGTTCATCCTAAATAGTTTAAAGCTCATAACAGTACACATCTGTTTACACTTTTAATTCTTTTATTGCCCTTTGAACTGTGTCCAACTAATAATCCTGCCACACAGGTTGTAAAATCACTAGGGGGAACATGTTACTCACTTTACCATATCGAATTACACAACACACAAGCTGCTTGTAGACATACCCCATTAAGAATTTTTGTCATTATTATAATTTTTCATTATCTTACCCAATAAGTTTCTTATTTTTACATTTTAGTTATTTTTTATAATAATAAATAAAGAATACACATACAAAAAACATATTACTTACTTTGGTACTCTTGTTTTTTGATCTCAACTTTAAATAAACATTAAGCCTAATTTGTTTATGCTAATGGTGCTTCTGCACTAAATTCTTATTTAACTAAATAATGTACTTGAGAACACAGAGTAACAACCCATTAAGCAAGCAATGTTTAATAACTATCATAATCCTTCTGGCTTTCTAACTATGTGATAAAAGTCTCTAAAAATTCAGCGAAGAGAAACAATTTAAAACTGTAAACAAACAGACAACTCTCTGTTCAGAAAACAATGTAATACGTCAATTGATACAATAAAACTTTGGCCTTCTATTGGTTATAACTAAAATGGTATAAAACATTAAAGAGAACTATTGGCAATTTGGGAAAGAGAGATGGGTGTACCAAATGAGTCTGATTTTCTAGTTTATAGCTTCATTAACAAATAAGACTGCAAACCCAGAGCAAGAGAGTTAAAAGAAAAAAAGGTAGGTGATTGCTCTGCACCCACCTGTTTTTTTATCCAGTCAGTAATTCAAAAATAGTTAAAGTTGGAGATAGCCTTCAAGTTAGAAGCTTAGCAATTATAAAGACATGTTGGGGTAGTTTTTGGGCAATTTGAATTAAAGTTGAGAGCTTCAGATCACGAGAACTACTCTAGCCTGGAAAAAAAAAATGATTTGAGCTAAACAAACTGGAGATAAAAAAAAACTTATAAATCTGGACAGAGTACAGAAAACCCATTATATAGCTTTGCAGTTAACAACAATCAAACATTGTATTTGTGAACTTCTTTCTCTCTTAAACATGCAGTAAAGAAACAGTAAAGAAAAGATGACATAGAGGCCTACTCTGTTCTTTTTTTCATTACCTCTGCTACAGGAGACTAGTTTTGTTGAATTCACAAATCATCAATGTCTCTTCCTGAATGTAGGATAAAATAGCTGTCATATCAGCAACAGTTGTTGAAATGCTTGATCATAGTTTTCTTGTGCTTCATCTAAATTGATAACAGCACAACCAAGCATATTTGTTTTGCAGTTAAAAGTACAATCTACAGAGGTTACATCGAAACTGGGAACATCGGTTTCATTTAACATAAGAAATAGCGTATGTAGATTTAGTTTGATAACATTTCTAGTACAAAGAATAACATAAGCAAGAAAGGGATTTATGTTAATAACTAAAAGTAAGAATTTTTAATCTCAGCAATTGCCAGATCCTAATTCTTTATATTATTTCTTCAAGCCAAGTCAAATTCATAATAGTGAAGATTACATACAGTGCTTGAAAAACAAAATCTACATGTTCTCTTGTGTTTAGTCAGCTTTATCCGTGTATGAAGTAAACATTTACTTCTACAATTGTTCTAGATGCTATTCATCAGAGAGTGATGCCCTC